TGGCCAGGAGGGAAGGAGGGAGAAGTGTGAAGGAGGGGAGAGGGGAGGAGAGAAGGGGACTAGTATCTGTATGTCGCAAGGCACTAAGGTGCCTGCTCCTCTAAGAGCAGAAACTGCCTGGGAGAGAGCCCAAAAACCCAGATAGAAGCCCACAGGTGCAGGTTACCATAACAACAGGCTAACAAGCAAATTAGCCTGCACCTGCACCTGGTCAGCTGACCAGAAGAGGTAGGGCCCTGGCCCCAGCCCCATATAAACCCCAGGGCTGGGACTACAGAGGTAATTCCCTGCCAGCAACCAAAGGGGAAGGAGCCTCCAGGAAGGAATTGCCTAGAGACTCTGCAGCTGCCTGATATGCTGCACTTAGGGCTAATGGGGCTCCAGGAGCTCATCAGGTACCCTTGCAGAGCACACCCTGAACTTGTGTTATGTTATAGCCCAGGGGCTCATGTTTTGGTTGCTGTTTTAGAAGACCAGTGGATTGGGCTGAGGCTATTGGGGAAGGAGGAGGCCTCATTGGGGGCCCACTACAGTGTAGGAACCCCAGCACCAGGGTGGGCACAGTGTTCAGGGGTGAGCGGAGAGCCCAGTGCCAGGGAGCACCGGAGAGAGAGACAGGGTTGCGGAGAGCCCAGTGCCAGGAAGCACCGGAGAGAGAGAGGGTTGCGGAGAGCCCAGCGATGACCAGAGGCCAAGGTGAACTAAGGCCTTGGAAGGACAATGTGTGAACGCCATCTGCGAGGCTTAGGCCGTGGTAAAGTGATGATTTGGAGCCAAGCATCTAGCCTATAAGGCTGAGGGTGTCCCAAGAGGCATCCATTTTGGAGTGGGACCCAAAAGGGGTCAAGGAACCCACAGGGGTCAGCAGGGTCCATCAGGACCATGCCCAAAAATACAAACTAGAGGGCAGCCTCCCTAATTTAATACAACAAGACAGGGCAGGAGAGAAAGAGGGTGCCAGTTGGGCAGGATTGGCACGGTCAGGAGCCCTAGGGGGTATCACGGCCAACCCTGGGGACCCCATCTCATGACACCATAGCTTAAGACAGGGGCAGGCAATTATTTCAGCTGAAGGACTGCTTACCAAGTTCGGGCAAGCTGTCAAGGACCACAAGGGTAGCCCTGCCCCTTGACAGGTGGCCTGCCCCTGGTCACCATCTTGGGACCAGAAGACCCACCCCGCTAACCTTTGCCCTTGACCTTTGCCACCAAAAGTCTCTCCCCTTGTCCCTGGGACCTGTGCCAGCAGGGACCCAAAGCAGGGTGGCAGGAGAACAGGGTCTGGGCAGACAGGGGATCCAGCCCATGGGCCGTATTTTGCCCACTCCGGCCTAAGAGGAAGATAGGGAGCAGCTTAATGACTCGTCAATTAAATGATTTGCTGCTTGTTCACAGGTGCTCCCTCCTTCCCAGCCACAGGGCTTCAAGTCAGCTGGGCTTGCCTCTTCCACCCCTCCCCCCCACTTTGAGACAAAGGGCAATGGGAGTGGCTCCCAGCAGGATTTGTGTCTTAGCTGCTGTGTTGTTGGTTAGTCATTTAACTGATATAATTAGAGGATGTTAAATGAATATTTTTAAATGATATTTACACATCCCTAGATGTGAGAAGAATCACCTTTTGCCTACTACCTACCAAAGGCTCAATATGTCAGTTCTTCCTATGCTACATTATGCTTTCCTTGGTCACCAGCTAAGGATTGAGGCAGCACCTAAAGAACATGTTTTTAAACTTGGGGGTTGCTGGCTAGACGGTCTTGTGCCCTTCCACTCATGGTTAGACTAATCATTGTATTTGGGATTTGGAAGGAATTTTACCGCAAGATCAGATTGGTCCAAATGGGAGGTGGGGAGAGAAGAGGGTTGCTTTTCCCTGTATCAGGAGGCATGGTCCTGTTCCTTGGATCTTTAACATTTTAACAGTCTTTGCAGCAGCAGGACACTGGTTATCATAGCTCCCTGCTTTACCTGTGGCAGATTAGGGTGTTATGTCTTGTGTTCAGTCAGTGTTGACTGCATGGTTTTGCTAATGGGCTTGACAATGGATTTGTATAGGATGGTTTGGATAGGGTTGTTTCTGCCTCAGACAGGGGGTTGGATTAGATGACCTCTGGAGGTTCATTCCAGCCCTACTTTTCTATGATCCTATGAAAAAGTGCATTGCATAGGAACAGTCCTTTGCTATACAAAACATAGGCTTCTTACCAGAGAAGGCTATCAGTCATAATACCAATACTGTAGACAACAGGTAACCATCCCAGGTTTTCCTGGGCACAATTTCACCACCATTTAATATATCCATTATTAAAATACTTTTCTAGACAACTGAGAACTATATATTAAAGGTGTGCTGCTAAATCCCAGAAGTTGTTCTTCCCTTTACTTCTTTAGAAATTATAAAGATAGTAAAACATTAAAAAACAAAGTTTTCATCTTGTACTTAACTCAGCATCCTTTGACCCCCCCCCCCGCCAAAGAGGTTGCAACTTGAAGCTCTCAGGTTATCAAGAGTTTGCTCTTTTTTTAAATTCCTACCCACCTGACAAAATAAAATGCTACCTCTACTGAAGTCGATTAAAATGTTGGCTATTTTGTTATGAAATTTCCAGTCTGTTACTAGAGACAGAGACATTCTTCCATGTCAGTTTAAGAAAAATAAATGGTATCTTTAGCCTGAAAGGATACCCTTAAAACTATCATTAGAAGAGCTGATTTAATCTGCATTTTCATTAGAGGCACAATTTAAGTTTTGAACAATTTATTAACAGAAAACATTATCTTCCCATTGCTCAAATCTAGCAAAACAATTGCAAAGCATTTCAGCACAGGGCTCATATTAAGCACAAGTGATGCCAATGAAGCTAAGATGCTCAAGCGCTTTGCTAGATCAGAGACTTGTCTGGGGTCCCCCCCCACTTACCTGAGCTTCCTGTGCTGGGGCTTTTGACAGGAACCAAGGGCAGAGAAAAATTAATTTTCTACATTTTTTTTTTAGGGGCCCTGCGGGCCAGATCTGGCCTGTGGGCTGTATTTTGCCCACCCCTGCTCTAAATGAACTAGCCCAGGTGCCAGATGGAGCATGATGTTCTGCTTAGACTAAACTTTTAACATAACTATACAGCTACAAGCATCCAAGTTACTGAGCAGATATACCCCATTAAAATGCATTAAAAATTAAACCAAAATGATCTAAAACTTTGACATCCTATCTTAAGAAAGAACCTACTCACACAAAGAAAAGTGCTCACATGTAGCAGTTTTCAAGTGTCAGCACTAAGACTTCTGTTTAGGAAAGGAGCTATAGTATTCCCTGACTTTGAGGTAAGAAATTTTGTGAACTTACTCTTTCATCTGTCTCTAGTTCTATGAATCACTTGTCTGTTCCTATTTATATCCGGATAAAAATCAAAAGAAATATCCCACTCCAGAATCTCACGCTTTATACGCACAGATAAAAATGCAAGATATACTGCATCAGCATACAGTAAGATAGTCTTAATTTTACTTGTGATTTAAGAAATTGTATGATTAAACTATTTCACCACATAGTGCAGGCAGTAGTATGAGGACTAGCTCCACTATTTTTATAATATTAAATTTTGTAATTTCATTCCACTAACATACAAAATATTCCTCAAATTTTATGATCCAGAGAAGTACAATCCAGTAACAGTTCTAGCCTTAGGTATAAAAACATCATTTTGAAATATACAGCAATGGCCATTTCTTACTTCAGTGCTCATAGTATACAGGTTCCTACTTTCCAAGCCTAGAGGATATATGAAATACAGCCTAAACTACTGTATATTTAGTTATTTTTTTAACTTTATGGATGCGATTCTCAACTGTTTACCTTCAATGTAGCTCTCAAAATAAATTAAGCTACCTATTTTTCATCAACTGGGTTTCTAATCCAATATTTATATTATAGGGATTTCTTTTAATTAAAATAATTTACTAATTCTTAAGTTAATCATAGTACACACAATTAGAAATAAAGCACTAAAACAGGTTTGTTTGTTTTCTAACTGTCGCGTCAATTATAAATTTAGATACATTACCTGAGCTAAACTAATTAACTGCCTATTTATATAAACTATATGACTGTTGGATTAAGTACAAGGAAAGACTTGAAAACATCAAAAAGGTTAAGTTCATATATTCTATTATCAAGCATTACAGATGACTAGACAGATGACTCTAGAGTGTGTCTATAATAATTCTTTCAATTCAATGGTTCTATAATAATTGGTTCATTAGAAATTTTAGAAGCACAAACTCCTGGACAGGGAAGGATTTGTAGCATGCTGACAGTAATCTGCAACAGAATATTCTAGGCCACATGAAATGCTTTATGCAGAATGCCATCATTAGGACAGATGGTTTCATTTACATTTTCATTAGGTGGACAATTTAAGTTTTGAAGAATTTATTAATGGAATCATTTATTAATAGAATTTTAGCTTACTCTTACCATTTAAGAGAGCATTCACACCATGGCAGTAAAGGTTTACATTCTAGGCCTTTGTTATTAGTAAAACTTGAAGCAATTATTTTAACTTGATTGGCAAAGCTTTTACATAATATTTTATTTAAATGGAGTTACACATTAACTGTTCAAGCTGCTCAACTTTAAAAAATGGGGACATTTATTTAAGCTTATTATTTAACTTGGAGAGTGAACTTCCTTTTCAAAAAAATCTGTTATAGCTTCCCAACTTTGTCTATATAAAGTAATTGTCAAAAACTGCACAGTAGAGGTAATTCTTCCTTGCTGTACTTAGTAGTTGAGCTAGTAGTGCAGCCCCAACTGAAAAGACCACATGGATGATTCTATGCATCTCCAGGGTGCTCTTTTTCCTAGAAATAATACCTTTATATTGGATAAATGGCATTTCATTACCTGGAAGGAGTTCATGCAGCGAAGTGAAGGCGGCAGAGAAGCATTACTCAAACTCAGTATCAGCAGCAATTCCAAACATGTTTTTGATGGAAATATTAGGGAGTGAACTCCAATATCATTTCCCCATGAATCAGCAAGGCTGGAAAGTAATAATAATAAAAAAAAAAAAATTAATTAACCAGCCTAAAATATATATTTCACACAAGGCTCAAATGAAGCCTTGAAAGTACTAGACTGTTCTTGTGTATATGCCAGTAGTTCCATTTCACATACATTTTCTCTGTAGCAGCCACAGGCCACCGCACTGCATTTTTCTTACAATACTGGTAAATGCTGAAGGCTTTTTAAGTACTGTGTTATTACCACCAATTTTACAAAAGGGCACATATGAGTTGAGACAACTTTGCCATCTAAGACAACTAACCCATCAGAACAATCCATTTTTACATTTGCAATTCTTAGTTTTAACAGCAAGTCTGAACCAGGCTTCATCTGTCACTAGCAATTTCATACCATCTAAAACTTGCATGTAAAGTACTTAATAATGCACTACCTGTGCTTCTTAAGGAATACCTTTATTTTTCTTCCAGTAGTAAAAATGTCTCATCACTGCTGAAAAGCTAGGAGGCCAAGGGCTATGATGTAAATTGATGTTTATGATGCTACCACTGGGATCTTGCTGTCTACACACCAAGCAAAAATCAATCCTCATTTCTTTTAAATAGCTTTGGTTTAAAAATATAAAATGCACTGAATTTCTCAGAGCTAATCACTTTAAGACACAGGGACAACCCTACAAAATAATGTTTTTGTAAACATTTGTGTTCATTTATACCAATGATTCTCAGTCAGGGTGCTGCAGCACACAGAGATGCCTTCATACTTTTGAAGGGTGGTTTGAGGTATGAAGTGATAAAGGAGGTGCGAGGAGATAAGTTTGTCCCTGCCTGGCAAAACTCTGCCCCCACTACCAGCTCCCTCTGCAAGGAGGCAAGCACCGTAATATATACACATTAGTTTTTAAAATTGCGTGCCACAGTTCACAAAAGTTATGGAATGGTGCCGTGAGTTGAATAAACATTGCTTGAATCTAAAAAAGTTGAGAACCATTGACTTATACTAAGTAATAACAAAGATTATTGCAGAGAAATCAACTCGGAATGCTAGCATGGTCAGCTTTCTAATGTTGTTCAAGTCTGGTTCTTCCTTCCTCCACATAAAAGACTGTCAGAGCGGACCAATGATCCATCTCATTTAGTAATCTGTCTCTGACAGCAGCCAGTACACAGTGCTCTAGAGCAAGGTGCAGGTCACTAATTCTCAGGAGTACCCAGTGTGCTTTTACAGGTAGGCACAATATTTGTTCCTTTCCAGATAGCAGTAGCTAAGGATTTTAATTAATATTGTAACCGGAGGGCAGTCAGGGTCACCGTGCTCTCCCCTGCCGCCTCCTTTACCGTGTCATGTAGCCGACTGGCACCCTCTAATCCTCACCCGCCACGACTTTGATCTTCTATATATTATAGGGTGGCTGCCTTTTGTTCTCTGTTCCACGGTTATCCTGTATTCTCTATTTCCACTACGATAGTGAGTGTTCCTGTATACTCGCCTTATGGGATATACGTAGCTCCAATCACCCCCATACCACACCCCAAGCCTCGCCGATGTAACGGATGTTGTTCTGTCCCTTACTGTCCCCACGCCCTCTCTGGCCCTTGGGCTCTCCGCAGCCCTGTCTGTCTTTCTCTCCATGTCCTCTCTGGCGCTCAGGCTCTCCACAGTCCCGTCTCTCTCTCCGGGGCCTTCTCCGTAACGCCGCCCTCTCTGGGGCTTCTCAGCAATGCCCCCTTCTCTGGGGCTGGGGCCCCCATACCTCCGTGAGTCCCCTATGAGGCCTCCTCCAACCCCTAATAGCCTCACCCAAACCACCAGTGTAACAAATAGCAAACACAAACACAAGCCTCTTGGCTACAACGTAAACAGAAGCCACCCGGCCATAACAACGTTCAATCCTACCAGGGATCCTTTGTCTCTCTGCAGTATCAGACGCAGCTCCTTCATCAGGCCTCTCCTTTGTAACATGGCTGAGAGCTCCCTCCTCCTTGGCTGCTGGTAGGGAGCTGCCACCTGGCCTCCTGCCTGGGGTTTATATAGGAGCCAGGCCCTGCCCCTGCTTGTCAGATGGCTAGGCAGGTGCAGATCATTAGCTCCCTCTAGTTGCCTCAGCAACCGGCACCTGAGGAGTCTTCCCTGCTCTCAGTAGCAGGCACCTTAGTGCCCTGCTACAAATATTAATATTTTTTGTTAGTTCCTTCAGCTTTCTTGAAGCACATTATCAAAAGCTGATAAATTATTGTTCCAATATCTTCTCTTTCAACAGCTGAATCTTTTACAGTACCCACAAAGAGCACCTGAGGGGGGGAAAACTGAAGCAATCACCCGATATGGAATATCTTTATCCTCTTAATCGTTCCCTTCTCCCAGCTGTCTAGCAGAGTCAATGATCCTGTGGCAGACGTCCTGGTTCTTAGATGGTTAAATCATTTCTTACTGGTTTCTAACACTCTTTACACACTTCCTTACTTGCCTTCTTTACATATATGTTTTTCACATCAGTCTTCCTAATGCCCATTTTACCTTCCATAGTTTGTGTACCTTTCTATAGACTTTACCAGCATAAAAAATTTCTCTGAATAGAAATGGAAGGTACAGTTTTAGTTTTTAACAATTAGGCAGACCATCCTTTCCCTCCCCTTGCCTGCCTGCTTTATTTCCCCCTAGTGTTGTGGGTGACTGTCATGTTTTCAGTTTTAAGGATTTTTTTTGCCCCCCTTGAACCTCATTTATTTTTCTGCAAATGCAATTGCTGGGCTAATTTTGAGGAATTTTATTTCCAGAAGGTTGCTGGATTTAATTGTATTGCTGTCATCACTGCTTAGTTGCTGAATTCTGAATTACATCTTGAACCAAGTCCTATGGGTTCCTTCATACTTAAATCAGGTGCTTTAGAACTTGCAGATCCAAGAAAGTATTCTTTTAGGTGCTGCAAATGTTTCTCTAAATGTTGTTACAATGCAACAGTTGGCCACTTTACACCTGGGCAGTTAAAATTCCTCATTATCGTTGTTTTATTGAACCCCCTGTCTCTGTTTTCCTTCTTCTTTCTCACTCGTGGGAGTATTAAAAATATATTTGTAATGTTTACTGTGGATAAAAGAAATTATTCTTCTTGCTAAAAATGGAGCATTGCCTGGTTTTCCAATTACTGATTTTATGGAGCTTGACTTTATTCCATGTAGGACACCTGACTCAACTACAACTTATTGTTTGCTTATACTTCACAGCCTCTAGAAAGGACCTAATCGTGTGAGGTTCAAAGTGTCTAGTAGGAGGTGCTAAGTACCCAGAAAGAGCAGCTCACCCTGGCACCATTCTGATCTGTGCTGGAACCAGATCCAAGATGCTGGTATTAAAGGTATTTCATCACTACGCATCATCTATTTTCCCACTTTTGACTAGAATAGGTATCCTGTTGCTATTACCTCTATTGCTGTATCAAGGCAATAGAGGTAATAGCCTCTATTACCTTACTTGCCTTCTTTACATATATGTTTTTCACATCAGTCTTCCTAATGCCCATTTTACCTTCCATAGTTTGTGTACCTTTCTATAGACTTTACCAGCATAAAAAATTTCTCTGAATAGAAATGGAAGGTACAGAGTTCTACCATGTAGCCAAATCAAAGCTCACTTGGCCGGACACTTAACAGAATGGAAACTAATGTTTCCATCTAGCCCCGTGGAGTCTGAGTGCTCTGAAGCATTCTGTGGCGAGCCAATTGCAGCACTTCTCTTGTCTCCCCAGCACAATCCCAGGCCGGACATTCTGTCTAGTACTTCTTCAGGAAATTGACCCTCATGACCCAACCACGATAGCTCCCACAATCAGTGCCAAACTTTGTGAGGTGACCTTCTGATCAACTTTCTAAGATAATTAAGTCCCTTAACAAGAAATACAATGCTTAGTTACCTCTTCTCTGGGTATCTGGAAATCTGGTTTGCACAGGACATAGCCAAATCTTTGTCCAAGGGGCTTTACTGGGATTAGAGAATCAACAAGATTTAACAATTTTATCTAGGTCACCACCCCTTGGAATTTCAGGTCAACATGGAGGTTAAAAGACAGAGTTTTAGTCTGATAGAGATAAACACACTGAGTTCCCAATTACCAAACAAAATTCATAAACTGTACATAAGATTCTCCAAATCACAAGAGCAAAAATAAAAACCGAACAACAAAAATCTAGTTTGCACTGATCTTCACGATACAAGAATATTCACTACTGAATATAAATTTTGACAGTCTGGCAACATCTAAAGGACATACAAGTCAAGTTTAGGAACCAAACCCCAAAGCAATTAGGTATAGTAAAAGATACTCAACAAAATGTTCTGAACTAGGAACAGGCCTTGGAGTTAAGGAAAGGGGAAGTGTGAAGGACAGAGAGAGCGAACAGAAGTCCTGAGGTGTCTTACATGCTGGGTAGGGGAGGTCAGGAGAAGGAAAGCAGCTTGCAGCAACAAATGGAGAGAGTGAAAACAAGCAAAACTCACAGCATGCAAGGCCAACAGGGCTGCAGCTGGAGACTGGAAGGGAAAAGAAACACCCACCACACTTCCGGAGCAGCATCTCGCTCAGGAATAGAAGAGGAAGGCTGCCCAGAGGTATTTCCGGCCCCAGAGAGGGGTAGAGGGGGGTCAGTTCCCTACAGGCCACAGGGAGAGAGGAGGGGCTGAGCATCCCAGCAGGCAAGGGTTGTGAGACTTGCCAGAGAAATGGGGAGTGACCCTGGGAAGGAGGCAGAAGGAGCCCTGCACACACATGACTGGTGATAAGCTCCAGAGCAGAGCCTCAGCTGAGGATCTGGGAGACAGAACACATACAGCCGTTGATAATCTCTGGAGAAGAGTGTCAGCAGAGGATACAGAGGAGAGGCTTGAGGAAAATTGCAGTTACAGGTAGAGCCCTGCTGCACATGGGACATATCCCAATGAGACTGTGACTGTTCACAGGGGAGCAGGGCAGGCCTGTGCACAACAGAGACTATATTAAGTGATTTCCTGATTGTTGAGATTGGA